GGCTGGGGGCGGCCGTCTGGCTGCAGCTGCCGTCGCGTTGTTACCACATGCGCTTAGCTGGCGTGATGTGGGAATACAGCCGTCTGAAGCTGCGCCTAGCGATATGCTACCGTGTTCTTTTTTTTTTTTTTTTCCCTGAAAAAAGATCATCGTCAGTAAACCGCAGCTGGTGGAAAGACGGGAGCGAGTTACTGAACGGAGGGAGTGAATGAGCTTTGTTAGATGTATGGCTAGTCACACACGCTTAGCCTAGCATACCAGTTGGGACATCAGTAAGCATGTGTTGTGCATGATGCATTAATATTTGTTTTGAGTCTATAATCGTTTCTCTGTTCTTTTGCTCAACTCACCGTTGCATGAACCGCAATGTAACTTCTGTGCCTTAAAGCTGAAGCTATTCTGGATGATTTTGATGTGTATGACTTAGCCAACACTATACATATAAAGTAACTCAGGGTGACAGTGCCTCTCAGAAATAAATCTGTATTTTCCGTTTCTAGGGAAGCAAACCTCAGGAGCTTACCGGTGGATATTTCAATAACGGCAGCCTCTCTAGAAGTGAGAAGCGGAGAGGCCTGCACAGCGGTGACGCTCCCGGCAGAGGTCAGGGTTGCCCCGTCCTCCTGCCGCGGGCTGCGGTACCTGCCGGGCGATGGGCTGCACCTGAGGCTGCAGGTGCAGACTGGCTCCGACACGAGTAAGGCTGAATGGGGGCTGGTGCTATGTTTTGTTTTAATGCTATCTAGTAAACTCTTCTGAGGCAAGGAAAGTCTAGTCCATTGTTTAAGAAAGGCTACTTTGAGTAGGGCAGTCTGAAACGTCAGAGACTTCATAATTTACATTCTGCAATAGAAAAAACTGGATGGAGTTCATGGTGTGCATCAGGCATACGCTCTTACTTTTTCTGAAAGCTTCTCTTCAGCTTTGAACTGAAAATTTAAACAGAAGCAGATTCATGCTACTCCTAGTAAAATTCAGCAACAGACAAGCAAATTTTGCTTGTCTGTTCTAACAAGCAAAACTGAAAGAATGACACAATAAAAGGGAAGCACCATGGCTGAGTACGAGTGTTCTGTGTAGCTGCTTTTGATGCTCGCCCGTGCTTTTCCATAGGACTTTAAACTTTTTTCCCCCTCCTGTTTCATGTTTGGTATAACCTTAGCATTGGATTGCCTTATTTGTTAACTTTAGGTATTTTATATTAATATGGAGAACTAGTCTTTTGCATTCTGGAACCTTTTTAAGTACTTTCGTTTCTAAGTGCAGCCTAAATCTTAAATTCCAAAAGCCTGTGCTGGAAATGTACTATTCTTACGTTTCAGAAAGTGGACAGTGCCAAACTTCTTCATATGTAGAGCTAGGCAGACAGTTCTATTTTTCTTCCACCTAATATTATTCAATGTTTTGTGGAGGTTTCTCCATTTCCTTCTTTAATTGGGAAAAGTTGCCTTGAGCTGGCTTTTGTGAGACTGTTTTCACTTTGATGGCCTGTAGAGGGTATTGTTTGCTTGCTTTTCCTTGAGTGGCACCATAGTGGCTGTAGATCTTACATGGCTGAAAATTTAAGACTAGTGCTCCTTTTTTTTTTTTTTTTTTTCCCTTTTTACTTCTATTCTGTGTTACATGTTGGGATGTACCATGCAGAGATGCTGATTAGCAGAACTATTATTACAAATTATTATTAAAAATACTATTACGAAAGACTAGTGTTGAATTTTAGTTTAGGCAGTCCTGTGATGAGTTCAGTAGCCCCTTCAGTTGGGGGAATTTGCAGCATTAAAGTAATTATTCACATATACAATTCCTGTTCAGCAATACTGGGCCTGAGATGGAAGTGGCGAATTTTTCTTGAATGTAACGGCTTGTTTCTACAATTAATTAAGATTGTGTTTAAAATCTTGGCATTTTGCTTTGTTTGTCAGATTCTTATCTTTTTTGGTTTGAGGTATTTGAAAGGATTTTTATGTATGAATGAGAAAAAATTTTGCACAGCTCAAAGTTTAGTATGTCCTCTTCTATCTCTAGAATTGGTTTCTCCTTTGAGTGAAAGGCTGAAACCCCAGAAGAGTTATGTCTTTTACTGTCAGTCCTGTGGTGACATCATAATAAAAGAACGGTAAGTACTGCAATGTCTTCTATTTATAGCAGTAAATGCCATAGTGATTGCTATTCATGTTATTTTGTGTGCTTAGAAGGCTAAAACGTATTTATTTTAAAAATAATAGATGAGAACAATTTTGAAGCACACAGATGACTAAAATCAAAACTACTTGAAACAGTTTTTCACTATTTACTCATTTACTTCTTGATGTAATTCCAGCTGGAAAGTGGAAGTAGCTTGCAAAGAGAGTTTGATACAGTGCTTAGAGCATGGCTCTGGAAGTTGGGAAATGTAGATTTTTTTTTTTTTTTTCCTTCTGGTCCTCTGCCTTGAGTGATGCGTTTCTTTCTGTGGTTGTGCTTCCCATGTATAAAACGAAGATGATGATCCTTTGCTCATTTCTGCCTTGAAATCTGTGGCTTTTTATTCATATAGCAACTCTTTGCACTCCTATTGGCTTATTTTTTTGCTGTACAAACAAGAAGTTGTAATATTTTGGACTGGAAATACTGCAAATGAAATGTTCAAGTCAGGCATTTTTAGTTTTTATAACTTTAAAAAATACTCATAGTCCATTAGTGTCTTTAACGTTATCTTTGTTATGTTGAAGGGAGTAAAACTGGAAAACTGAGCCTAAACTTCTTTCTTCTTCTGCAGTTCAGGGATCCTTCTCAGGTCTGCTCGTTCTCCCATAAATTCTCCTCAGTCAGCATACTGTAGTCACAGAGTAGCGGGTCGGAAAAGGGGTACTGGGAACATCTCTCTTCTATCTTTTAAGCAAAGCCAAGCTCTGGACAATTCAGGGTTATTGGATTTGGGAAGTACGAGAGTTATATCTTAACCGTGTGACTCAGCGTTATGTCTGTTCCTGACGAAGTTTACAGATTGCATGAGAATTTTAATACAAAACTACTGCGTTGCCTAGCTCTTGTGGTGAGCATTTTTGACAACGTCAGCTAGATGTATACAAATTTTTGGAGACACACTTGCAGCCTTTTATGATCTGTGTCACTCCTAATATGCAAAATGGTAATACCAGTGTAATATAGTCTTTAGACTGCTGCTGTTTTCTTATCGTCCATATGGATTTATGGCTCGCTGTAATGCAAACGAATGATGATTGACTGGCTCTCTATTATGAAATGTCTCATCAGAAGGTCTTGCAGTAACTGATTTTATTTTGATATATTTGTAGAATAACAAAACTTCTAATTTCTAGTAAATAACATTTGCTTTCAAAAGATATCGGACCATTTGGATTTATGTTTCTCTGAGCAGGCATTTTCCTAAATTTCAGTGCACCAAATTCATGTGCACGGAGGTGTCATCTTTTGGCTCTGCAGCCTGCAACGTGACGCGGTTGGAATTTACTTTAAACGAAAAAGAAAGCATGTTAATGGCTTTCTCCTTGGCATTTCTCCTTGCAGGGAATCTCTCAACCTCTTGGATGTTATTGCTAAAAAAAAAATACTGGCTGAGATAAGGGTAGAAGAATGGAGCTACCAGTATATCCAGCACCTTCCATTCCATCACTGGTGTTTTCAAAAGAAAGACAGTGGCGTAGTCACTACTTTTAGAAACAACAGAATTTTTGTGTAGGTCTTTGGTAGGATCCTAGAGATAAGGATTATGCTAATGACAGCATAGGTAATGGGATAGGAAGGGAAGTTGCAAATGTGTGAGGAAAGCTTAATAAAGTATGAATTACTTGGAGAGGGTCTGTAATAAGGACAATCTGAGCTAGAAAATTCTACCTTTGAGGAAACGATTGAAACAGGTGGGATTTACTTTAAAGAAGACAGTGTGGAGGAGCCATGAGAGTCTTTCAATATGTAAGAAGTTGCTGCAAAGGTGGTGCTAATTGTCTTCCATCAAAGCAAGAAGAATTTAGTGTAAAAATGAAAACAACATTATTCTGATGCTTTTTTTTTTTATTGTTAGAAATTGCTTGGGAAGGCTGTGGAATCTGTACCGTTGCAGTTTTTAAGAATAGATTAGAGAAATATGTCAGAAATGGCTTAAGTCGACCCGCCTTGAGGCAAGTAAATAAACTAGATGAGATTTTTCAGCTCTGTTTTATGTGATTTTTTTTTTTATACCTTTTCTGAGGTTCACTGGTTTAGTCTGTTTCCTTCCATGATGTTGATAGCTCTTAAGAGGTTACAGTTACGCTCTCTGCTTCTTCCACATTACTCACGTTAGAGAAGGTATTGGACTTTCTTTTTCTTCTATGATTTAAATGCTGCAAAGAACTTGGGATACTTTCTTTTTCTCTTTCCAATTATGTTGCCTAAGTGTAGCTTATACATAAAATGTTTCCTTAAGACTTTATTCCTGTCACGCGGAAGTTCTTGGAGGGCTGAATGTCATGGAAATTAATTTTCACGAATTGGCTCTTAAGAAGTAACCCTTTTCATTAGTCCAAAACCGCAGAATTGTTACTACGTAAGTATTCTATTGGAAAACTAATTGCAGAGGAAGTCTTCTAATTACACTTTTGATACAGAAATAGCTTTAGGCACGACAATTACTGTCGAGCCAGGCTTTTCATGTTTTAGTAATAAATAAATAGGAGTGCTATTAAAGAAATGCAGTTGGGTCTTTTTTTCTTCCAACTTTTCTCTGACGGAACAAAAAGGGTTATATATTTAGAAGTCTGCCTGTTTATTTCCAGTTTGGAGGATTTTTTCAATAGATAGGATGATATTAGTGGGTTCTTGGTTATTAGTAAGTAATGATGCTAAGGAGTGATATTTCTAATCCAGCCCTAAAAGGATCTCTATGGTCAAGTCTGTACCTTAGCATGGAATTCCACCTAAGAATTAGAACCTTATGGCAGGTCTCTTCTAAGCTATTGCCTGGCTTTTAGCTTGTTAGAGTTAAGCTAGTCATCTAGGCCCTTTAGGGTCTGTCTGGAAACAAGAGAACCGTCTCCAGAGGGAGATTCAGCCTGACTATGTTGGACACTTCCAGAAGGCGAGGGTGTCTCTGAAGTGTCCCATCCTAAAGTAATTGTCTGTCTCTGACTGAAGTTAGCCTAGATGGCTATCTTAAAGTAGAAATCCAACTGTTATTAGGGGCTAGTTTGAAGAGGTGAGTCCCATTATTAGCTAGGTTTTATTGTTGCATTTAGTTACCTTAATGAGCCAGCACTCGGTAAGCTTTTTTTTATTTTCCTGGAAAACTAAACTTGTATTAGTGTTACGTTCTTCCAAGACAGGTTGTGATCCAGAATATGGCGTCCCACCCCTAGATAGTCAACAGCTAAAATATAATGGAGATGCTGTATTTGCTGTACAGCTTAGAGGTAGGAACCTATTTAGGAACTTCCCAATGAATGTAGCAACTGCTTTTATTTGTCAAGGATTCAAGATTTTGCTGCAATCCAAAGAGGTACTTTAGACTCTGAAGGTAAAGGAAGAGTAGCATAAAGAAACTGGGCAGCACTGGCCTGCAGCTTAAGCCTGCGCTGCCTTTTTTTGTCCTGTATTTAACACTTGAAAAAGTATTACTAGGCAATTGAGGCTTTTTTTCCTGCAATGTAAAGAGAAGCACATGGGAAGGGATTCTTTTTCAGTGTGACTGCAGGTGTTGGAACTAATTGTACAAAGCTATGAAGATAATCAGTCTTTAGACCAACGTCAGAATTAGGAGTCCACCGTAGCAGAGTCACGATAATTTCTCAGACAACATACAAGTCTGCAGAGAGTGAAGACTCTAATGGGTAGTGCCAAGGGGTGATCTGACTGGTAACAATAGCTGTTAAGAAGACCAGTTATTTTAACTGCTTCCAACTTTCATCTGCAGATGGGGCAAGCACAGTTCAAATTGTATTGTGGATCTAGAAAGAAGGAAGCTTCTGTAAAAGATTTTACTTTCACCCAGCAATACAAAAGGCACAAGAAACTACAGTACGAAGAGCTGGCATTTTCGGAAAATAATCATCTGTTAACTGCAAGAAATGGAGGGTGTCTAACTGTTGGCTCGGTGATTGTGAGATTATTTGCAAAGTATCAGCAAAAGCAAAGTTGAATTTGCAAGTTTTGAATAAGGAGCGTAATCAAGAAGCCATATGGAAAGGTTTCAGGCAACAGCAGAAGAAATAAGGGAACAATAGGAAAACATTCAAGGAAACTAGGAAGAGAGCACAGAGACAGAGATGCTGCAATGATCAGTTTGCCTAGAAAATTGTGTAAGGAGTGCCCACAGTTAAAGCTATTGTTTGTTGTTTTGGTGAAGGTGCAGAATTTCTTTGCAGTGCAACAGCTTTCTAGAAAACACAGATTAAAAGTATGTGGACAGGATCCTGGACCCACAGAATGGTTACAGAAACTCCAGGCGGGAAAGAATTGACCATTGATTCATTATAATGAACAGAATTGTATTTATATAGCCATATGTATTAAATTCTAGCTTTTGGAGCATACAATTTAAAATAGCGATTCCAAACCCCTGGCTTATTTATTTAAAAAAAAAAAAAAAGTCCGACCCTGTGGTAACCAGAGAAAACAAGTTTAAAAAAAAAAACTGACACAGATGAAGAAGACAGTGTGGTATTGCCTACAGCAGCTTCCTTACTCCATACAGGAGTAAGGGATTTTGCTTTTTTTTGTTTTTTTGACTTTTGAAAGTTGGCTCTGAATCTAAATGAAGATTCCATTGGCTGTTGTTGTGGGGTGGGTTTTTTTTTGTTTTTTGAAATGAAGCTGTGCTGTGGCATTTTTGCCAGGATTTAACTTTGTTTCAAAGTCGGATCGTCTGATTTTAAGGGACTTCAAAAGACGTATTCTCCCTTGCAATAGCAGCAGTCTATTGATGTATCTGTTGTTTTTTATATGGATATTTGATGCAGGCGAACTTTACAAGTAGTAATAATAAAAATAATTGCAAAACGTCCGTTGTTATGCTTTTCATGACTGACTAGGTCTGCTTTGTTTTTAACGTGATTCACTTCATGAGGGGGTTATGCCAAGTTCTACTCTATAATCATTGGAGATTCACCCCTGGGAAGTGCTTCATCACACTCTTGGTAGGAAACGCTGCCATTGCTTTGTGTAGAATTCATCCAAAGAAAGTTGACTTTTGGTCAGCCTTTGAAAAGAGAGTCACGCACTTCCTTTTAGAGAAAATGCAGTGTGTGTGTGTGTATACGTATGTCTTTTTTTCTTGTAAGGAGTCCAGGCCCTCTGTTAGTATGTTAGAAAAGCATATAATATATTGAAATACTTTTTCTTCTTTCCTCTTAGGAAATTTCTCAGAGTTCTTCCTCTACCAGATGAGAACTGGAGTGCTTTAGTTGAAGAATGGTGTTGCCACCCTAACCCCTTTGCCGGAAGTGCATTGCACCCTCAGAAAGATGACTGTTTTCTTGGAGATGCATTTTTTCTGTTGAATTCAGGAAATGAGTCACACGTGCCAGGGTCTCCCTTGTACTGTGCAGAGGCTAGACATCGCACTTCTCAGAGTGCCTTCACCTTGGTAAAGTATTTTGTTTTAATAATTCTTAAGCAAATGAATTTGGCTTTTCCCTCCCCTCGCCCATGTAAAACATTTCTTTGTCACTGGCTTATTTTACTTACATGTATTGTAGGGGTGCTTTAAAGGTCATACAGAAGTATTGACAGTATCTGTCTTCAGTTATATGGAAGCCAGAAAATATTCTAAACTATGATTTAATTTTTCTAAAGAATGCACTATGGTCTTGATATTGACCTAGATATGGAAGAAGAAACTCTCCTTATAAACAGAATTAGAAAACATTTAGTGATAGAGTTCTAAAAACAGGTATTTCCTCTCCAAAAAATCCTAATGAAGGACGATGTTAATTAAAATAGAAACCACCAAAGGATAGTGGAACCAAGAGCAAGGGGAACTGGAGTAAAAACGCTTTTTCATTTCAAAGTATGACTGGATATGTAACTATAAACATGAGCAAAAGAAGGAGCGGTTTTTTTTGTCTTCACAGCTTTAGAAAGACTTGTAAAAACCAGAACGTGATCTGGGTTCAAATGTGTGTCTCTCAAACTCTAGAATAAAACAAGGAAGGTGACTAAATAGTTTGACTACTCTCCACCTAGTGAAAGGGACCTGCCACCCCAAGTTGTAAACTTTTCACGTTGACTTTCCTGAAGTGTTCCAGGAGGACCTGAATCTATCACCTGAGTCACCAGGAGGATGGCTGTCTTTCAGCCTGGAAACAACAAAATTTATTATTATTGCACAGGAGGAAAACGTGTTTGTAGAGATACTGATGGATGGTGGGATGAAACTCATGAGGAAAGAAAATGCACTGCTTTCCCTTCTTGGATCTAACACCGGTATAAAAATCTTGACAGCAATCCTTCCTCCACCCCCAAAAGAAAATCCAGGAACTGGTCTTAGTTTACCAAATCTTGCATTTCCAAAAAGTGTTTTCTCTTAATGTGCTCCTTGTCTATATTTGCGCTGGTTGCGCTGGCAAAAGTTGAGCCTTCCAATGCCAATATTAAACCTAATTGTTGAAGTCCTTCAATAACTGTGGGAACAATTGCTACTTTGGCCATGTGCGTGACGACTGCGCAATGCACAGTTTGCCAACGCAAAACTTCTGATCCATTGGCAAGTAGCACCAGAGGTCCTAATTTGTGTCCGTTGCTACAATCTATCGTCACTGGGCATTTGTATTATCCCAAATTAAATGACCAGGATTCTAGCACTTCAACTAGTGGTGATGTGATGTGTACCAGGGACCCAACTGTTTGGGGAACAGTTCTGTCCTCATGTCTATAGCTTCAAGTCTTGCAGCTATGGTCTCTTTGGTTTCTTGTTCTACTGTTCTTTGAAAAGCAGAACTTGAAGAGGAAAAGAATTGATATTCTGAAGGAATATCAGTGTGGGAGAAATTGGTTAATCTGAGTTGACTCTGACATTTGGAGTTATTTCTTCTAAGTGCTCATAATAAAGAGGCTAAGCAGGAGCCACTGAGTTTCCAGGAGGACAATGCTGCTTGCATTGGTCCCAAAACTGAATTATCTGGCATCTCTGTAGTCTCAGAAGAGATCGTGGAACAATGGGAACAAAGACGGAAAGAGGTGTAGTACGAGATATAGCGTGTGAAATTCGTATTGCAGTACAAAGAGGGGAGCAGTCTGTCCAACGTACTTGGTAAATCAATCAAAGAGAATATTTGTTAGAGAAGGGTTGTTTTTGAGACAGAAACTTGATAAAAGATGTTACTGAGATGTGGGTCAAGCCAGGATAACAGAATTTTTGAATGAGGGAGGAGGCTGTTCTGTGTGAGAGGCCCATAAAAAATAGTTGTTCATTTTGATGGATTTTCTCGTGTGCTTCCTTAAAGTTGCCTTGAAGTTGAGATTTCTTTCTTTCTTTATGTCAAATCCTTTTTTTTTCTGTGTCTTTCACACTTGCACTGAATTCTCACTTCTATGTTTGCCTATTTCCAGCATCACTCAGTTGCCAAGAAAATGAGCAAAACTATAAGATCAATCAGAAACTGGACTAATAAGGAAAAAAGTCTTCATACTGAAAAAGAAGATTCTTCTGTAATATGAGAGTAATAGAAAGTTGCAGTCAAGACAGATTGCTCTTGGCATAAATGTTCTCATTTTAGAGAATATTCTTGCAGTCTGCCCTGGTATGAAAGTTCGTTTTTAATTGCATTGC